CTCTGTCTATGTTATATAAGAGTGTAGTGTGAATCCCTCTGTCTATGTTATATAAGAGTGTAGTGTGAATCCCTCTGTCTATGTTATATAAGAGTGTAGTGTGAATCCCTCTGTCTATGTTATATAAGAGTGTAGTGTGAATCCCTCTGTCTATGTTATATAAGAGTGTAGTGTGAATCCCTCTGTCTATGTTATATAAGAGTGTAGTGTGAATCCCTCTGTCTATGTTGTATAAGAGTGTATGTGAATCCCTCTGTCTATGTTATATAAGAGTGAGTGTGAATCCCTCTGTCCTATGTTATATAAGAGTGTAGTGTGAATCCCTCTGTCTATGTTATATAAGAGTGTAGTGTGAATCCCTCTGTCTATGTTATATAAGAGTGTAGTGTGAATCCCTCTGTCTATGTTATATAAGAGTGTAGTGTGAATCCCTCTGTCTATGTTATATAAGAGTGTAGTGTGAATCCCTCTGTCTATGTTATATAAGAGTGTAGTGTGAATCCCTCTGTCTATGTTATATAAGAGTGTAGTGTGAATCCCTCTGTCTATGTTATATAAGAGTGTAGTGTGAATCCCTCTGTCTATGTTATATAAGAGTGTAGTGTGAATCCCTCTGTCTATGTTATATAAGAGTGTAGTGTGAATCCCTCTGTCTATGTTATATAAGAGTGTAGTGTGAATCCCTCTGTCTATGTTATATAAGAGTGTAGTGTGATTCCCTCTATCTATGTTATATAAGAGTGTAGTGTGATTCCTTCTGTCTATGTTATATAAGAGTGTAGTGTGACTCCCTCTGTCTATGTTTATAAGAGTGTAGTGTGAATCCCTCTGTCTAGTTATATAAGAGTGTAGTGTGAATCCCTCTGTCTATGTTATATAAGAGTGTAGTGTGAATCCCTCTGTCTATGTTATATAAGAGTGTAGTGTGAATCCCTCTGTCTATGTTATATAAGAGTGTAGTGTGAATCCCTCTGTCTATGTTATATAAGAGTGTAGTGTGAATCCTCTGTCTATGTTATATAAGAGTGTAGTGTGATTCCCTCTATCTATGTTATATAAGAGTGTAGTGTGATTCCCTCTGTCTATGTTATATAAGAGTGTAGTGTGACTCCCTCTGTCTATGTTATATAAGAGTGTAGTGTGAATCCCTCTGTCTATGTTATATAAGAGTGTAGTGTGATTCCCTCTGTCTATGTTATATAAGAGTGTAGTGTGAATCCCTCTGTCTATGTTATATAAGAGTGTAGTGTGAATCCCTCTGTCTATGTTATATAAGAGTGTAGTGTGAATCCCTCTGTCTATGTTATATAAGAGTGTAGTGTGATTCCCTCTATCTATGTTATATAAGAGTGTAGTGTGAAGCTCTCCTCTCTGTATGTTATTACTGGAAGGTGATTTTTACCGGCTTCTCGCAGCGCAGAAACACACTTAGGACAGCTTAACACTAAATAGTCTGTGCTTAAGTCTATATTATTATTCTGCTCATG